TGGGAGAACTGGAACCAACTCTTATACCTGGCAGTGCAGCTTTGAGAGAAGAGTCAACCCAAATGCCAATGATGTCTCTTCTCTTTTGCCAAGGAGACAGGTGTGGATCTGGGGAAGTAAACAGGTGGAAACTATAAACTGAAGGCAAGAAGAGTGGTATTTGTGAGGGCAGGGGAAGAAGGTGAGCAACCACCATTTTTCTCTCCAACTTTGGAAAAATAAAACAAAAATACACAACCATATAGGCTAATGAACATCAGGTGAAGATTTTGGATACATTTGGAGAAGAAAGTAAACACCATTCTTGGAAAATGATTTGAAGCAGTGATTTTTAAAACAAAGAAAGCAGAATTAGAATATCGTAAATTTTTAATCCTTTCTTTACAGGTTGCCTAGACCACTTTTGATTAAGAAAACTGTAGAAAGTTAGTAATGGCCATAAGCGGACGCCAGGTGGTGGCAAGCATCAATTCTCCACAGAGTCCTGCTTTGCGTGGGGGGGGGGGTGGTGTCTCAATGCACTGCTGGAGTCTCTGGTCTCTGCTCACACTTGCTGGAATCATTCGCAGCAGATTTTTAGTCCACAGGTCGCTTTGCCCCATATTTCTTTGTAAACTCTTCAGCAGTCTTACAGAATTTTTTACAGTCCTTAGAGTATTCTTCAGCTAGGTCAGCCTGGAGCGGGTGTCCAGGCTGGGGGTCATTGCCCAGTGCTATGAGGGACTGGATTACTTGGTCACTTTTGGTTGCTGGCTTCCAGTTTTCAGCACTAATTACCGGCAGGCAACCCTGACCCTTTTCATGGATGTTTGGGTGATAGATCTTTGTTTTAAATGTGATCTTCATTGGTTTGAATGGGTACTCTGCTGGAAAGTTGATTTTGATTCTGAAGACCCCCTTATCATATGGAGGGTTGTCAGGAACAATCAGCCCTTGCCAAGTCAATAAACTAGCTTCATCAACCTGGAAGTATTTCATCCCACATTTGCGGATTTCTTCAAGCGCCTTCATCAGCCTCCTGCTGGCCGCCATCTTGGATCGAGTGCTGCTGCTGTCCTCGCTTTTGGCTTTTAAATATAGTATTTCTAGGTCCAGTTCTAAATTCTAAATACTTTGCTCTTCTGCTCGTCTTAGTCTATGTATTTTTCCATGAATTAATATGTTT